TTTTTGTATAAAAATTAGTATCTTGGATTAAATCTATATCTTGGATAAGATATGAAAAAACTTATAATTTATCTCTTTACAGCATTTTTACTAATTTCTAGTATATCTAGCTTATTCTATGGTCTTGATTTATTTGAAACTTACCATTCAAAGGGTAAGGAAACGCCAGATAAAATATATTCTGTTTCATTAAATAATCATGGCTCGGTTCATTATGTATCTAAAGAACAGAATAATAGAATTAATTCCTTTTTTTATATTGCAGTGATCAGTTTTATATTTTCAGCTGGTGGGTTTGCTTGGATTCAAAAAAATAAAGTTGGAGGTATCTAACGTGAAAGACTTAAATCGCAAAATCGAATGTTAATCAAACCCACTCAATAGAGTGGGTTTTTTATTGGACCCAATTTATGAGCAATGAAAAATTTACTATTCATTCTTGCAATGGGGGCATGTATTGGATTTGCCAAACTACTTGTCTCTGGTGGAAAACTTACATGGCGTTTAGCTATTGGCCGAACAACTTTAGGAGCAGCAACATCAACGATAGCGGGAGCAATTGTTTTACAGGTTCCTGATATAAACCCTCTTACTTTGATCGCAATAGCATCAACATTAGGTATTTTAGGAAGTACGTTTATTGAGTCTTGGCTTAAACGCCAAGCAAACACGTGGAGTATTAAATGAAATTAATCGATAATTGGAAACAGTCATACAAGCTTAAATCACTACAGATCGGCGCAATAAGCGCCATTTTTTTGTTTTGAGTTTATTCTCTGAGCACTTTTGACTCTATGGAATATTATTCCTCAAGAGTTCAAAAACTCAATTCCCGAATAATGGAAAGAATATGTTGGCGCTTTTGTTGATGTAGCTTTGATTATAGCTCGTTTGAAAAAGCAGCCAGAATTGCGTGAGCCTCAGTTAAATTTAACCACCGTCAATACACTGATCTCAACACTGGTATCAAATACAAATGATTTAGCTTGGATGGTCGAAGCCAAAAAACATTTAGGTTTAAAAGAAAATACAAGCAAAACAGCTCATAACCCAACAATCCTAAAATGGATTCAATCCTTGGGTTCATGGTGGCAAGAAGATGAAACACCTTGGTGCGGTACATTTTTGGCGTGGTGTCTAAAATCTACTGGTGTGGCATATCCAAAACATTGGTACTGCGCACTTGATTATGTGAACTATGGATTTAAACTATCAAAACCAGCCTATGGCTGTGTAGCAATCAAAACTCGAAGCGGTGGTGGCCATGTTTGCTTTGTTGCAGGTCGGGATAGTAAGACAGGTAGTTGGTCTGTATTGGTGGAAATCAATCAAATATGGTTTGTTATGCGCTTTATAATGAATCTGACTTTCAGGAATTTCGATGGTATGGGAAAACAAGTAAACCTGCTGAGTTTCGTTATGATTTGCCTGTTTTAAAAGGTGTATCTGCAACTGGAGTAACGGAAGTATAAAGTGAAATGCCCTCAATTGAGGGCTTCAATTTAATAAGGATTAACCAAGAGAAGTAGCATTAAGTAAATTAATTTCATAAAGTAGGTTTAGGAAGAGGAGTCTTTGGAATTAATTTTGAAGGTGAAGCTGACCCGAGTCCACAAGCCTTATTACCAGAATGTCCCCATTTTGTTACTTTCCCCCTTTCAATTAAAAATTTTGCTTCACAATAACTATCTTTTCTAGAATTATATACATCATAAGATATAATTTTTGAACCATTTGAAAGGGTATAGTTACCATTTGGTACACCCCATTGACTAATAAGTTCTTGCTCAGAAAGTCCTACTTTTTTATTCATTCTATCACTTATTTCCTCCCATCGTTTACTACCAAGTTGTTCGCCATTCGGTAATACATAGTTACTACATCCTGATAAAACTACGATTAATGAAGTGATAAAACATATTTTTTTCATAATTAGCTCTCATTTTTGTATCTAAATTCTTTTGATTGTTAATAATACAACAGTAGTAATTAAAAGTTAAAATTAATTGCTGTACTTCTATTTACTATTACGAACAGCCTTAGAGAGGGCAAGGTATTCTGTGTAGTTAAGTGTAGGGGCTAAAAAACCAGTTTTAAATTCTACATGCCATGCTTTGTATTTGTAACCTATAGGCTTCCATGGTGATGAGGTATTAGACCAATATTCACCATCTCCCAAACTAACCAACCAAAAGTGGGTTAGTGTGATTAACAGGTACTCACAATCTAAGTATCAGATGTATATCTTATATTTATAACTACACTAAAAGTGTAGTTATAAGGGGCTGCATGATCGTCAGATCCTTAGTAATTTCAGTTGTGGTGATTTCCACCATACCTGGTACTCAGAATCTGAGTACCACCTTCAATTTAATCAAATTGAATTGGCAGTCTTAATCTGGCAACAACTGCCTTGCCATTTACTTTCGGAATATCAAACTGCCAACGTTTAACCGCTGTAAGCGCCAACCAACTAAATTCATCATTATTCCCAGATACAATTTTAGGTAAAATCACCATACCATCCTGATCTAAATAAAATTCTAACATTACTTTTGATTTTTGTGATTTATCAGAACCTATAGGCATTTCAGGGTGTGGTGCATATAATGGTTTAGGTACCGAATCTAAATCTTTCAACTCATAGATTTTTGTTTTTCCACGCTCTAAATTAGCCAATATTTGAGTTGTTGAGTGGCTATTTGATGTATCTCTATTAAACTGATTAAAATTCTGTTCTTTTGTGATCACTGACCAACTATGTTTACCATCTTTTTTTGCAGGATAAAATTTCCATGACTGTAAAGAAGCCTTCGCAGCTAAGCCAAATGATGGCTCACTGGCTGAAAGCACATTGGCTTGACGCACATTTCCATCAGGATCTATAACTACATACACCTTAGCTTTACCAGTAGTTTTCGATTTAAGTAGCTCATAGGGATAAACTAAAGGGGCTGCTATACGAATCTGCGGTGCGACATCATACTGTAAATCTGCTGGAAGGTTTTTTGATGCAGCAGGGATTCTAAAAGGATCAACACCATTACTTAAACCAGCTGACACAGAAAATTCAATGGGTATTTTCACAAAGCCGCTTTGTGGCTTACCATTAATTTTTTCCGGTTCAAACAGTGCCCCCATGACAGCTTGAACAGCGGCACGTTCTAAATCGGGGTGTGGTGAATCCAGTACCTCAACTTCGCTAACTCTGCCTGTTTCAGTAATTAATACTTTAAGCAGCACTTTACCCCTATTACCGAAATCGCTAAGATTTTTAGGGTAGGTGATTTTTGGTCTTTTTATGTACTTTATAGGGGTATTATTAGTGGATAAGGTTTGCATTACCCCAACATCTGGCAATGACTCTGTACTAGTAGTATTTGGTATTACTTCAGCCCAACCTTCTATCGTCAACAGCAATAGTCCCAATAAATAAATTCTTTTTATTACCATCTTGATATCATCCATTTTTGTTTGAAGTTAAACTTAAAATTATTAATGCATTTAATCTCATTGGATCAATAAAATTCACAGGATTATTCCCCAAATAGAAGTTTTATACATTTTCAAATTAATTTCATTTTACTACATCCATGGTCAATTTGATAAAAACAACGGGTCAGTTGCATAAAAATATCTAAGTAGCAAGCTCAACACTTGCTACTAGATCATTTAAGTTTCTAAAGAGTGATTCAGGCAGTACAATGATCAACGATTATTGTTTAAATATGGTTACTTTTAAATTCCATCAAATAAAACATTTAATCAAATCTAAATTAAAATGCAACAAAAACGCAACTTTTTGTTATAAGTATTTGATATTTATATTTAATAAAGGAGGTTGATGCGCCTTTTTTTGATATATTAGCCTTCATAAAATAAGCAATTTTATATATCGTTAAAATCCTAATACAGAAATATACGATACGCAAAAGCATATGGAATTATAAAGAAACAGTTGATGTTTTAAGAATGATAATTAAGTAACTACTATGTACAATAAGTGGAGTGCTTTGAATGATGTGAAGAATAAGGCTTTTAAATAAGGATTTTAAATAGGGCTTTATTTCTAGGAATAATTTTGGAATAAAAAACCACCAAAAAACAGACAGTATTAGTCAATACTTTAATGTAATAAAAAATAGTAGTTCACCACTGCTTTTGTTTTAAAATAAAGTCGCTATTGATGTTTTGCTATCTATTACATTGAATAACCCTAAATGGCTTTCTTTAAATGATTTTTTCTAAATCACTTTGTCTATATAATCAAAGCTAATTAAAGATGGGATAAAACAAATGAAGAAAATAATCTGTATTCTGATTCTCAGTTGTAGCGCACTTTCAAGCTTCAGTCATGCCTGTGATCCGACTTCATTAGACTGGGAGAAATTTTATAAAATCTATGATTCAAATAAAAATGGTACTTTTGAACTTAATGAATTTTTAAAGGTTAAAGATTTTGAACCATATCCTTGGCCAGATGATAGACGGTTTCAAGGCAAAGATAAAAACATTAAATTATTTAAATATTTAGATGAAAATCAAGATGGAAAACTTGTAGAAGATGAATTTGTCAAAATTTACGGTTTATTACCTAATCCTTGTGCTAATTGGCCTGATAAAGCTTGGTGGAAATTTTGGTAAGTGATTCAAAATATATATCCTAAGGTTCGTCAGAATAAGACGTTTTGTTTTTCTTCATCACGCGGAAAAGTGACAAACTCATCACGCATTTCAAAGAAATATTCATGAGCGTTTTCTTTATCAACATTCAACCAATCTTTGCGGTATTCTTCTGGTATGACTATGATTGAGCGCTTTTCATCGTCAGGCGCGTGAAATTGCTTCATAAAGGGTGGTTGTCAGAATTGATCGTAAGCATTGAAAATGATCTGACTTTTGAATCTCTAATTACAGCATCATCGTAGATTGCAGCAACAGTAAAAGGTTGATTATCTTCACGCTTGATCGTGTACCAGTGGCTTTTATCATCAATATACTTAGGCTTTAGGCTCGTAAAACTCTTGCACCGGCACAAGACAGAATTTACTGTACTTCCATGCATGTCTAAAACTTGGCTTTTCAGCTACAGTTTCAGTTCGCGCATTATAGGTATAAGAACTAAACTTAAAATCTTTAGCCCATCGAGGCAAAAGCCCAAACTTACTAAAATCCAAATCTTTCATGATAATCGTGGCGTGGTAACCCGGATAAATGTTTGGCTTCAGGTCAAGTTCTAACTGATCAACTTCGACATCAAGTTAGGCGAGGGCATCTCTGGTGGGAATTTCATAGTTTGAACTCATTTGCGTTCATTCTTAATTTTCATTTTATTTTCTCTACATTTGTTATTATTTTAATCGAATCCATATAAGTATGAACGTATGCATATTGAAAGCAAACCTTGTCTCCATTTTTAATTATTTCGTTATTTTTAATTTTATTATGAAGATCAAATTGTGGAAATATATTAAAGGCATCAACTTTATTTTCATTATTTTTAAAAGCAAAGAAGTCTTCCTTAAATCGAGCATTTGTGGTTTTTACACCTAAAAAAGTACCGCATATATTTATTTTACTTTCTGAATTTATCGTGGAATTGATTCTAAATCTTGTAGAAAAACTGTCATATAACCAAAAAAAAAGTATTCCAACAACAAGCAAAACAATAAATTTCATTTTAAATTTACCAACTATCAACGATATCAGACCAGTCTTGAATCATTTTTCTTCTCTCATCTAAACTTTGAGCATGGTTATATGTACAGCGGACAATGTTTTTATCAACATGGGCGAGTTGCATTTCAATCCATTCTGAACTGTAATTTTTTTCATGCAAAATCGTGGATGCTGTGGCGCGGAAGTCATGAGCAGTGCAATTTAGGCCCATTGTTTTTAATGCCTGGTTAATTGTGCTTTTGTTCATTACTTTGGACTTATTAAAGACTGAACAAAACACATATTCATCGTTAGATTGGATTTTTTGGTTTTTAAGGATTTCAACCATTTGCTTACTCAATGGAACCAAGTGTTGACGGTTCATTTTAATATTTCGCTCACCGACAAGAAGTTGATCTCTAGATGCAGGTGGGATAACTATTAAATCTTTTTCAAAATCTACCCAATCCCATGCTAGGTCTAGTTAGATTGGCAACAAACTATCAATTTAGAAGTTGCATCATTGGGGCTTGAAAGTCAGGGTATATTGTGGCATATTTTTGTTATAGTGCGCGAAGTTATAGTAATTCACTAGATATTAAGCTCACTTTTTAGTGAGCTTTTTTGTTGGTCAAATCTTTTATGATTAACCAATATTTAGTCAATTTATTAGATGAATATTTACAAACTTTAAACTTAATTACTAACAATATTTATATTTTTTAATTTATTGAATCACATAAGAATAGATAGAGATGATTACAGATATATTTAGTAAAACTCTTGGCGGGTTAAGAAAAGATTATTTCATTAGAAATCTTATAATTGGTATTGTTGCTGCTGTACTAGCTTGGTTGATGATAGATACATTAGAGGCTAGAGCAACCACACCAAAACCATTCTGGAATTTAGTTATTATAAAAGGATTTTTTATATTTAATGGGCTGTTATACCCCTATGCAAAATATTTATATGATTATGTATGGGAGGTTATTACTGGAGATGCAGTTTACGTTTATTCTATCAATATCATTACAATATGGTTCAAGCTAATTGCAAGATTAATGTGCTTCTTTTTTGCATGGGTATTAGCTCCAGTTGGACTACTTATTTTATATTTTAAGAATAGTTAATTTTTTAATTAAGCCACTTTTGAGAGTTTTTTAATACTTAAAGATTTTTAGTTTAGTTAATTAGCGAATACCCGAATCCTAGCAATCAGGCAGAATGCAACCCCTGAAATAAATCCGCAAAGTAGGGAGAAGATGATCCCGTAAAGGTCAGGCATTCGTTCGGGTCCACCATTCAACAGATAAATGTAGGCTAGAATGTAACTGGTGCAAGTAGAGTGCACCAAAGGCACAATCGTGCAGAAGATAAAGCGTTTATATTGCGAAGGAAGATAGCCATCGGTAAAACCAGTGTAAAGGTGATAGTGTATGTAAAGGGAAGCCCAAACATAAGACAGAGAAAAAACATCGCAAAGGCGCCACCAAGATCTCCTTGGAAAAGCATAACTGTACCGTATGCTATTCCAATGACTAAAGGAACAACCAAAGGGGAGATAGACACCCCCTGTTTCAGGCTTCCTTCATGCTGAAGTTTAGAATTTTTATAATGCATATTCATCAATCGAATGCTTGTAAGATTAGCTTGTCAATTGTGCCACTTTAGCATTGCAAAAGGTTTTACAGAAGACTTTCAATTAGATCAATAAATTATTGAGATTTAGTAGCTTCCTCACAGTTGGGGCTTTTTTAATACTTAGAGGAAAGCTATGACAGACACAGTACAGGCTAGAAAAGACTTAGAACTTTGCAGTGTTAAGTGATTGATTAAAGCTAAGCAAGTCTTGATTTAATATCAAAGTTTGCTTTATAAACAGATTTACATATTTTGAGTTAGGGAGGCTATTGATTGTATGAAATATATATTTTTCTTAGCAATAATAGTGTCACTACTTATAATTATCTATAAACCTAGTATCCCCTTAGAGAATAAAGAGAGTAAAGAATTTCAGAGATTAGGGTCAGTACTAACGGAATGCCAGGGCATAGACCCACCCAAAGAGGTGGATAAGAAAAAGTATTACGATTATTGTAAATGCATTAAGAATCCTGTTGATGCACGTAACAAGGAAGAAAAAGAGAAGAGTTGTATTGAAGATTTAAGAAGCCCAAATTAGTCGGGATTTTCTGTATTTTTTATAATACTCTGGTCATAAGAACCATGAGCGTAGAGTAAAAAGTATGCTCATTGCACGACTATAAAGCTAACGGATATGAGGGGGCGTTCGATCCGAATTTTTCGTCAGGATTAAATCAAATTATATTAATTTGGGCTTGAACAATAATTTTACTCATTTTATTTAATCTAAACTTCCTTTGGAAGGATTTTTAATTAATTGATTTAAATAAAGATTATGAAAAGTTTTAGCGAAAGTAGAATGTTAAATCTAGCCATACTTATTTGATTGCATAGTTTTAAGAATTAATCACCACCTTCGGGTGGTTTTTTATGTCTGTAAAAGAGTTGAGAATATCAAATGGCTTTAGGTTCTAATGATTTTCACTTAAAACTTTTAGACTAATACAACTGGCTTGTAATAGGGAATGAATGGTGCAATTTACCGACTATGGTAGCCTTAGGTGTTGGCTTAAGTATTTAAGGATTAGGTAAGCAGTACACTTATATACAAACCGTTCAGCGCAAATAAACATAGCCACAAAATTTTAACTAAGCAATGGCAGGCGTCCACCAAGTTGCACTAGCAACCAATTCCAATTTAACCACAGCTGTTTATTTATGCACATGCCTTAATGCAGTTGGCAAAGAAATGGAGGGATAACGCAAGAACAGGCGTTAGATCTTACAAAAACAGTAGCTCAAGCGATTTAAATTGGTGACGGATCAGCCAAAACAGTAGATGGTGCGGTTATCCAATTTATTCAGGCAATGCAAGGTGATGTACTTCTTGGTGAAGAATTCAATAGCATCATGGCGGGGAGTTACAATCTAGCTGAAGCTTTAGCTAGAGGAATAAGTGTAACTTTGGAAATACTATAGAAACTTCGCCATATTGAGACGATTCAGTTTTAAAAATTACTAAGCATTATTTAATAAGTGATCATCTTGAAAACCATTTAAGCTTCTTTTATGTAGGAATAATTTGTCTGTTCATTCAAAGTAATATTCGTATTTTTTAAGTGTTTATATATGGTGGATTACTTTTAATTTAAAAGTTGAGTAAAGTTTGAATTAATATTTATATTTTGAATAAATTGGTTAACTATTTTTTAATAGGGTTGTTGAATAATTGCTTGACACTATTTTTAAATTGAGTTTATATGTTTTATTCGAATACTTAATGATTTTATTAAGTGTTTTATAAGAAAATTGATGTAATTTTATTATGAATAGTATTTTTAAATAAATACTTTCTTGAATATAAGTATAGGAATGTCATTATGAAGTTATTTAATAAATCTATTTTAGTCGCTTTTTTAGGAATCGGATTAGTTGCTTGTGGTGGGGGGGTGATAATAACTCGAACTCAAACAATGATTCTAACACAAATTCGAACAATGGTTCTAATACCAACAATAATTCTACAGGGTCGATTGTTGAGAAGCTTGATACATCAAAAGCATATAGAATTATTTATTCTTTTCCTGAATCAAGTGGCTCATCCAATATTACTGCGGTTAAACAAAATGATATTGGCATTATTACTGAGTTTGGTGCATATAAATTATCTGGAACTATTGTTGGTAAAGAAATTTCAGGTAATAAAAATTATGCCATAGCTCGAATAGCTGGAGGTAATATAGATTATGCGGCGGATGGGAAAACTCAAACGACAGATGTTTCTAAATATGCGAATGGATCATATTATTATTTTGTATCTTCACCACTAACGCAAAAACTTGAATCTTCCTCAATTAAAAGAGTGAATTGTACAGATATAAATGCGACCCAAGCAAAAATAACAAATGATAAAAGTAATAATTACTTTGTTTCTCCGACTATACATAATGGAAGTGTTACATTAAACCCAGATGGAGCAATAGGTATTTCATTTACAGCTAAAATAGGAAGTGATGAAACTTCATATAACTCATCAATGAATTGGGTTGAAAATTTTAACGCTTATAACTCCTTTAACTTATTAGGAATAGAAAATCAACAAGGTCAATCAAGTAATATAGGTACATTTAATATTTCTAATAACGGTAAAAATAGCGTTGTAGCAGGCTCTATTTATAAAATTAAACTTAAGGATGGTTCAATCTATGAAGGAGCTATGTCGATGATATGTAATTACTAACGAATAGTTCTTAGCTCATTTATGAAAAGGCAAAGAGAAATTACGCTTTGCCTTCTTATTTAGGGTAATGTTTTTATTTATAATATTGATTTTTATGTAATTTTAAAGATTTGGTGATAAATGGTGGTTGAGTTGATCTCTCTTGTGTTCTCGTTGCAAATAATTTTTACAAAATCTCTATCTAGCACTATCTCAAATAAAGCTAAAAATTTTTTAACTTTCTGGTAAGCCTTCCAATTTTTAATTCTTGCATAACATCATTAAATAGGTTCCTCTGATTAAAGCACTATTAAGAATTATCCTTTTCTCTTATCTATCGTTGATAAAATAAATTTCTTCTGTTGAAAATGCTTACACTACCTCTTACTTGCGTGCTTTAGGCAAACCTACAGCAGGGTACAAGGTAAGGGGAGATATCAAAACTCATCAATGTTTTTATTAAAACGAAAATACCAAAACGATTGCCCACTTAGTTTGTCACCTTTAAAACAAAGCTCATCGCTATTTATCATCAATGTGGTAAAACGTTCATTCTCATTCAGTTCACTTAACTCAACAATTTTGAACCCATGTTAACGAAATTGTTGCTGTTGAAGCTCTGGTTTATTCTTTAGACATTTTAGAGCACTGGATATTACTTATTTAATAAGCAGGGTAAACCAATACACACTAAAAACATCTATTGGATGCATGAGAATATAAGATTAATTGATCAAGTTAAAATAGATTTATTCATGTTATCGATAATAATATACAAATGTTATTAATATTTTTAAATAAAACATTTAGTTTTATTAAATTTGATTGGCATTATTTCTATGCTAAAATATCATTGGCCTAACTTTTTTAAAATTAAGTTATTGAAATTTAAATATATATATTACTTTTAATGTTTGGTTTTAGTTTTGTTTGATATTTTTTTTAATAACTATTCTTGTATTTTATACGCTTAATAGTATATTAAATTTGTACAATTTTTTTACAGCAAATATAGTGTTTTGTATTTTATTTTTCTATAAAAATGATAAACTGTTCACATTCTATGCGAGGCCATGGGGGCTAAATGAAAGAAGAAATAAAAATCGCTATATTCGGTTTGAGTTTAAATGTGCTCGATGCAATTAAGCAGAAAATACGATCTATGTATGATGACTCACTTCAAGTAAGTTGGGCGAATATTGCTGACCCTCATTTAGATATTCTTCTTGTAAATGATATGTTTTTTAGTTCGCCTACAATTCAAAATTTGGTTGGTGTAAAAAAAGTCCCTTATTTGCGTCTGGTCAATAAGAATGAAAAATCAGGGCAAATAGAAGGAGATAAATTATATTTACCTTTTTCTCCCTCAGATGAAATTCGAAAATGGTTTAAAGATCGCTATTTACATGTACCTGTCAGTGATAAAGCAGTCAATATTGTCAATCAGATTTCAAAAAAAGCCGATTTAACCAAGGTGGTTGCTGAGCTTTTTAATGAACGAAATGGCAACGTTCAAGTATTCGACTCAAAAGGCAACATCGCATTAGTTAATATTCGCACACAGCAAGTTTGGATAGACCCTTTACGAAAAGTGCAGGGAACGGATGTTTCTTTAAATTTTACTTATGCAACTATGCAAATGGCACAGTCTGTCAGTGCTTTTCAAGGTATAGAACTTAGATCTTGGGTGTGGAATTTATTGTGGTATTCAGATGATGTCAATATTCCAATCAGTTCTAACGATTGTTATAAACTGCTAGATTGGCCGCAACCGAATCATCAAAATGAACGGCAAATGGTTTTTAAAATTGCAGCGTGTTTTGAATTGGGAGCAAGTGTTTCCCAAGTGACTCAGAAAACAGGTTATAGCAAAGAGCAAGTCGCTAAATTTGTTTCGATTGGCATATTGACCAATGCGCTGAAAAAAATAGCGGTTGAAGATGCAAAATTACTCACTGAGGAAAAACAATCTTCAGGCATTTTACGTGGGTTTTTTGGTAAGTTAAGGAAAAAATTAGGGCTTTAAGTGTGTGAAAAACATGCGAATCAAATAAGGCTTGTAAAAATTAACCCTTAAATCAAGTTTGTTTAAACTGACACGATAAATAAATGCATAGTCAGTTTATATGATGCAGTGATAAGTTTAAAAATAGGTGATGATGTGATCTTACAAAAGTATAAAATTGTTTTTGGCGGTAAAATGGGCGCTGGTAAAACAGAAGCAATCAAATCATTATCTGAAATTTCAGTCTTATCTACAGAAGCACAAAATACAGATGAGCAAGCACACAGTAAAGCTTTGACCACTGTCGGGATTGACTATGGTGAAATTAAATTAGATGAAGGCGTTATTGTTGGATTATATGGAACACCAGGGCAGGATCGCTTTGATTTTGTTTGGTCAGTGATATGTAAAGGTGCAATCGGAGCGGTCGTATTGATTGACCATACGCAAAAAGATGCACTTGAAGATTTAAAATTTTACTTTCAAAGTTTTAAAGAACATCTCTATAATATTGTGGTTGGTGTGACCCATATAGATGAAAATCCGCAGCATCTATTAAAACCTTATAAAGATTGGATGCAATTAAATCAATTGACCATGCCAATTTTTGCGGTGGATGCCAGAAAAAAAGATGATGTATTGGTCATGGTTGAAGCACTTATTGCAAGAGCAGAAGTTGAATTTGGCTAATTGTCGATATAGTAGATCATAAATTATAAAATCCCGTTGTTGTAACGAGGGTTGTACAGAACAATGTTAAAGGCGTATACAGACTGAATACGCCTTATTTTAATGCTTTTGAAATAAAAAATTGCCATCATCTTAAAAAATAGCCGATAAAAAGTGTTGTTCGCGTAATATAAGCACCAAGATAAAACATTTTATTCAGTTTGCACAAAAATAGTGCGTTAAAATTGTGCGTAATAATTTTAAAATGAGAAGTGTGTTTGAATATGGTGCAATTCTATTTGCACTCAGTATAATAGATGGAATTTAATCGTTGCTAAGCTTATTTTCTGATAAGAAATTCAATATTTTAGCAATTATTTTAAAAGTTGGTATGCTACTTGCTATATAAATACCAACTACTAACACGCACTTCACAAGTGCAACAAAAATTCATTGGAGCAAAATGAGCATGGCGAACAAGGTCCTTCAACTCATACAAGAAAGTGGCGCAAAATGGGTCGATTTTCGCTTTACTGATACTAAGGGTAAAGAGCAGCACGTAAGCTACCCATCAGACACTATCGATGAAGATACTTTTGAAGATGGTAAAATGTTTGATGGTTCTTCAATTGCTGGTTGGAAAGGCATTGAAGCATCTGACATGATTTTACGTCCAGATCCTGAAACTGCTTTCCTTGACCCGTTCTTTGCTGAAGCAACCATCGTCGTTACTTGTGATGTTATTGAACCATCTACTGGTCAAGGTTATGACCGTGATCCACGTTCGATTGCTCGTCGTGCGGAAGAATACCTAAAATCAACAGGTATTGGTGATACTGCATTCTTTGGTCCAGAACCAGAATTCTTCGTTTTTGATGAAGTTAAATGGGACATCGATATGTCTGGCGCTCGCCATACATTAATCGCTGAAGAAGCTGCTTGGTCTACAGGTAAAGACTACGAAGCAGGTAACTCTGGTCACCGTCCTCGTGTTAAAGGTGGTTATTTCCCAGTTCCTCCAGTAGATTCTTCACAAGATATGCGTGCTGAAATGTGTGCACGTATCGAAGACATCATGGGCCCTGGTCGTGTAGAAGTGCACCATCATGAAGTTGCATCTTGCCAATTAGAAATTGGTGTAAGCTTCAATACGATGGTTCGTAAAGCTGACGAAGTTCAACAGTTCAAATATGCTGTATGGAACGTTGCGCATCAATATGCGAAAACAGCGACGTTTATGCCTAAGCCTATGGTTGGTGATAACGGTTCAGGTATGCATGTTCACATGTCTATCTCTAAAGATGGCAAGAACTTGTTTGCTGGTGATGAATACGCTGGTCTTTCAGAAATGGCGCTTTACTTCATCGGTGGTATCATCAAGCATGCGCGTGCATTGAATGCGATCACAAACCCTTCTACTAACTCGTATAAGCGTTTGGTTCCTCATTTCGAAGCGCCAATTATGCTTGCTTATTCTGCACGTAACCGTTCTGCTTCTATTCGTATCCCATACGTTTCTAGCCCTAAAGGTAAACGTATTGAAGCGCGTTTCCCTGATCCAATGATGAACCCATACTTAGGTTTTGCGGCATTATTGATGGCTGGTCTTGATGGTATTCAAAACAAGATCCACCCAGGTGAAGCAGCTGATAAAAACTTATATGATCTTCCTCCTGAAGAAGAAGCTAAAATCCCAACAGTTGCGCATAGCCTAGATATGGCACTTGAAGCACTTGAAGCGGATCATGAGTTCCTTCTTAAAGGTGGTGTATTCACAAAAGAAATGTTGGATGCATACATCGAGCTTAAAACTGAAGATGTACGTCGTTTAAATACGACGACTCACCCAGTTGAATTTGATATGTACTATAGCTTGTAATTCGTTTTCGAATTTAAGTGATGAAAAACCTGCCTTGTGCAGGTTTTTTTATGCATGAAAATTAGAAATTCAGCATTTTAATTTTAAAATTATGAGAGGGGAGAATTGTCGGTAATGGTGTGTTTAGATTTTGAAGATGCTAAGTTTAATGGTAAAAAGCCAGTTAAATAACTGGCAATGAATAAAGTTTAAAAATATGCTTAATGTGAACCCGTGATATTCTGTTGATATTTCACCATATATTGTTCACGAATTTCATTGCGCTCATCAGATGTTGATGCTTTTTGCATTTTTTTACGCATTTCGTTGCGTTCAGCGGTGCTCATTTGCTGCCAGACTTCACGCATTTTTTGCTTTTCTTGTTCAGGAAGCTGAGTAAACCAATCCATGCGTTGTTGCAGTGCTGCACTTTGATCAGTCGGAATTTCTTTTAAATTTTGATAGCGTTTAATTAGTGCTTTTTGTTCGTCCTCAGAAAGGGCATCCCATGTTTCATTGACTTGACTGTTCGCATCTTTAGAAAAAATCCAAAAACGTTCAAATCCAGCAAAACTTGTTTGTAGAAAACCAATAGCACAAAATGCCAAAGCTAATTTTCTAGCTGCCATGAGAGTTTTTATCCTCACCAAATACAGACAACATATCTAAATCTTCCATCATTTGAGGTGAAAGTTTAGGGCTAATCACCACTTGTTGTGGAGCTTGCGATTCTGGTGATACATCAAAAACATTTGGAATCACAACAAAACCAGTAATTGCCGCTGCAAGCGCAAAACCAGTCATTTTCCAGTGACCAAAACGTGAGGTTTGTTTATCTTGGATATGATCAAGCACATTGTTCATCACCACTGCTTTATTGCGGTGATGACGTGCAGCTTCATCCAGTTTTGCCGTCACTTGTTTGGTGAAATCATCATTATTCATGTGATGAACCTCCATACGGATTTAAATGTGAGAGCGAAGTTCTTAGTCCTTGAATAGCTCTGTGATAATGGGTTTTTACACTACCTTCTGTACAGTTCATAATAGATGCAGTGGTTTGAGTATCAAATCCTTCCCAAGCGCGTAACATAAATGCTTGTTGCTGGCGTACAGGGAGGCGGCTAATGGCTTCTTGAATTTCCTCAACGGTGACATCTTGATCTAGAAATTGAAGTGGATTAGGTGTGGATTCATCCACAATTTCCATAGCCTCTTCATCATCAGAATCTAAATCAATTTTTCGAAATAACGAAAATGGAGAAGCGCGTCGTGCTTCTTTGCGTCGCCAATCTTGTAATTTATTATTTAAAATTGTATAGAACAGTGGATACCATTCTTCGGTAGATTTATCAGCATAAGATTTATGTAAGGAAATAAATGCTTCCTGTACCAAATCCATCGCAATCCCATTGTGACCTTGGGTTGCATTTTCCATCATCACTAGGGCACGACCCGTCACGTCCTGCATGAAAAAACGCAGGCGCTGCTCGCTCGTACTCGTTTGAGCACTTGCTGTTTCAGACTGTGACTTCTTTGGTGCTAAGTCCATAGAGATGGAAAATCCCGTCATGGGTACCCACCATTATTTTAAATTCATATCTCTATAACGTTAAAAAAATGGTTTGGGTTGACATGTAAATCAATTATTTTTTTCAGTTTAAATGATTTTTTCCAATAACGGGCAATATTTAAAATAAATTAACCTTATAGTCGTTGTCTAACCATTTCAAAGAAACAAATCGAGCCTGCAACTGCAACATTGAGGGATTCTTGACCACCAGGTTGAGGAATAGATACCGCTTCTGCGCGTTTAAGGGCAAAATCTGAAACGCCTTGACCTTCGTTACCTAGAATCCAAACACATTGTTTGCGCAGGTTTTTAGTGTAAAGGCTTTCTGCCTGATGCGAACTGGTGACATACACAGGAATTTTAAATTGCTTGAGTAGGTCTTCAAGGATCACGTTTTCATATGTGTGTAATGAAAAATGCGCCCCCATACCGGCACGTAATACTCGTGGTGACCATAATGATGCAGAACCTTTGGTACAGACAATTTGTTCAATACCCGCGGCGGCGGCTGATCTGAGTAATGTGCCAACATTGCCCGGATCTTGGACATTTTCAAGAATTAGCGTGTCTTCAGTAAAATTCAGTGCCTGAGTTGAACTTGGTAAATCCACAATGGCTAGACATGCAAGGCTGGTCCCAAGGGTACTTAAATCTTTGTATAAAGATTCACCCACCACAAACACGATACCTTGATATTGGTCAAGGATACTGCCTAAATCTTCATGATCTAAGGCATGTTCAGTGGTGAAAATTGAATTGATTTTTCGACCTTTTTCTAACCATGCAAGCGTAAGATGGGTTCCCTCAAGTACAGTTTGTCCCTGTTTTTTACGGTAAGTGTTTTGTTCAATTAAACCTCTGAGGTGTTTAATTTTGGGATTGTCTTTTGATTCAAGGAAAATTGTAGGCATGGGAGAGTACGTCCAAAAAATTAAGTAGGGTCTGTGATCATTCTATAAAGAAATTGCAACAGACCCTAGCTGGCGTTACTCCCTAAATAGAGAGTAAGAAAAGAGAGAAGAATTAGTTGTGGTAGCTGGTAACAAGCTCAACTTCATTCTTAGAACCAATGATAACAGGAACACGTTGATGTAACTCAGTCGGTTGAATCTCTAGAATACGTGTACGACCTGTAGTCGATGCGCCGCCAGCTTGTTCCATTAACATACTCATTGGGTTGGCTTCATACATTAAACGTAGACGACCTGCTTTTTTAGGATCTTTAGTATCGTATGGATATAAGAAAATACCGCTACGACATAAAATACGATGAATATCACCCACCATACACGCCACCCAACGCATATTGAAATCTTTTTCACGTATAGATGTTTTACCCGCTTGTAGTTCATCGATATAACGTTTTACAGGCGCTTCCCAATGACGTTGGTTTGATGAGTTAATCGCAAACTCTTTGGTATCCGCAGCAACTTGAATATTTTCAGAAGTGAGCAAGAATTGCTTTTCTTCAGGGTCGTAAGTGAAAAATACAACACCCGCGCCAACGGTCAAAGCCATCATTGTCGATGGGCCATAAAGCACATAACCTGCTGAAACTTGTTGAATACCTGCTTGCATGAAGTCTTCAGCTTGCGTTACGGCATTTTGAGCAGGAAGGATAGAAAAAATTGTTCCTACACACATATTAATGTCAATATTGCTTGAACCATCTAATGGATCAAATAAAACCAAATATTTGCCATTTTCTTGAGCTGGGGTAAATTCATCTAATTCTTCAGATGCGAGTCCACCTACATTTGGATTGGCTTTTAAAGCATCAATCAAATAGTCATTTGAAATCACATCAAGTTTTTTTTGCTCTTCACCTTGTACATTTTCATGTTGTGCACTCCCCAAGACACCAGCTAAAGCACCTTTCTGTAAAGCCTGATCAATGGTTTTGCAGGTATTTGCAATTGTTTCAATTACATTGGCAAGTTCAGATGTTAAGTTCCCTTGTTGTTGTTCTAAATATTGGGATAGGGTGCGATATGACATATCAGAGGTGCTCCAAAAGCGATAAATTTTTACAAACCAAATAATGGAGGCTATTTTAGATGAGTTCAGCACAAAATAGAAATTATCCTGTGTTATTTGTCGTGAAATTACCCTTGAAAGTATTTTAGAAAGTGTTATGTTGAATATACGTACAATAGCGTAAAGGAGCACTGACATGACAACGACAAAGTTTGAAGCGACTCCGACTCCAAATGAAAGCATTGATTTAAAAGATATTAGTGCTGAAAAAGTGAAAGAAGCATGGAAGAATTACGAAGCTAAGCCTGAATTCAAAGAATTCAATAAGCATGACATGATTGAATCTATGCAAAGCCCCAAGCCAGATGAGTCAAAGGCTTAATCAATAAAAAGCGTTCATTACTATATGAGCGCTTTTTTCTATTCATATATTTTATATTAAGCCCGAACAATAACGCTTCATGATAGAAATTGATCACAAAACAGACATTATCATTCCGTTTAATAAAATTGGTGAAGCGGAGTGGGATGTTAAAACTCGCCTAATTTTAGAATCTCTAGCTGATTTCAATGATGATGAGATTGCACCCGCAATTGATGATGAGCAAATTTTAAAACTTGAACAGCGTTTAAATTGTCGCTTACCTGAATCTTTAAAGATCTTCTATCAACACTTTGGGATTGCTGATATTGGTGAACAATTACAGCAGTTTGATGATATTGGCTACTTAAAAGATATTTGGGCAAATGCACCGCAATATGCGCCTGAATTTAGTCAGACCGATTTAGCAGTTTTACCTCATCTGATTACATTTAGTGATTATCTTGGTAATGGCAATATGTTTTGCTTTCATGATATCAGCAAAGAAATCTATTACTTTGATCATGACGACACGCCTTATTTAAGTAAAATATTGGACTGTGTGGATGACTATATTAAAGGTTGTCTGATTTTAGTGCAGTCTGAGTTTTTTGCTGAAGCACATCCAGATGAAGTGGATGAATGGGTAGAGGAAAGGTTTATTGCGTTATTTAATGAGCAAATACTCAAGAAATGGCGTTATTAATATAAATTACCATTGAACATTCTAAGCAGTTTCTTATTTTACTTTACTAAATCAAGACTTTATCTTGAAATGGAAAAGCGCTGAATGAGAAGAATTTCTGGTAAAAATGCCCAATTGAATTGGGCATTTTTTATGGTCTATTTTAATAATGCAACTTTGGCATTATTTTAAAAGAGGAGGAACGGCTTCGTAGTTGATTTCAACACGGCGGTTTTCTTTCCAAGCAGCTTCATCATGACCAGCATTGATTGGCATTTCTTTACCGTAGCTTACCGCTTCTAATTGGTTTGCTTTAACACCATTGGTGATCAGGTAGCTTTCAACGGCTTTAGCACGACGCTCACCTAAAGCCATGTTGTACTCACGCGTACCACGTTCATCTGTATGACCTGTTAATGCCACTTTAGAGTTGGCATTGGCAATCAAGAACTGCGCATGTGCTTGTAGTGTTTGGTAGTCATCATTGGAAAGATCACTACTGTCATAATCAAAATGTACCACACGTTTTGCTAAAAATGCTTTATTGGCTTCAGTCACGCCTTTAGATGAAGCACCATTTAAGTTTTGTGCATTTAAAGCAGCATCTTCACTTAAACCACTGGTATTTACTGTCGTCGCACTATTTGGATTGGTTCCTGATTCTACAGTGGCAGCAGGTTTACGGCTTGCACAACCTGTCATCACCAAGCTTGCTGCTAATAAGGGTAAAGCTAGATATTGAATTGACTTCATGTTGATCTCCGGTATTTCAATTTTAAATAAGTGATTTACATCTTGATTAAATTATTTAGGGGCCCAAGCCGGTTCACGTACTTCACCTTGTTCACTTGGTAAGTTCATGCGGAAGCGACCATCTGTAGACATGATTGCCAATAAGCCACGATTACCCTCACGTGTTGCATAAACTACCATTTGCCCATTTGGAGAAAAGCTTGGTGATTCATCTAAACTTGTTGGTGTCAAAATATTGGTGATACCTGTAGAAATTTCCTGAATGGCAACTTTGTAGTTACTACCAGAAGGGCGGTGTACCAATGCCACATATTTACCATCGGCACTTAATGTACCGCGTGCATTAAATGCACCACGGAAAGTTAAACGTTTGGTCGAGCCGTCATCAAAACTATAACGGTAAATTTGTGCTGATCCACCACGGTCAGATGTGAAAATAAACGATTTTCCATCTGGAGCATAACGTGCTTCTGTGTCAATTGCGCTATCGTTGGTCATGCGCTTCACTTGACGTGAATCTAAATCCATTTGATAAACTTCAGGATTTCCATGCATTGACGCAGTAAACAGCATTGATTTCCCATCAGGAGAGAAACTTGGTGCACCGTTTAAACCGCGAAATGCAGCGAGTTTTTCACGTGCACCTGTGGCTAAATCTTGGATATAAATAGCAGGGCGCTTGGTTTCAAATGAAACATATGCAATTTTTTTCGCATCTGGCGTCCAAGCAGGTGAGAGAATAGGATCTCTTGAACTTAATACCGTTTTAGGTTGCTCACCATCGGTATCTGCAATTTGTAAGGTATAACGAGTCTCTGGTGTTGCAGGGTTACGTAACACATAAGCAATACGTCCTGTGAAGTCGCCTTGAATCCCTGTAAGCGCTTGATAAATTGCGTCACTGATCATATGTGCCGCAGAACGTACACGTGATGCTGGAATCGAGAGCAATTCATTTAATAGGAATTTCTGCTTTTCAACATCATAGAGTTGGTAATGTACTGCCAGTGAACCATCTGCATTGGTTTTAGAGTCACCTAAAACCACATAAGGAACCCCAGCTGCTTTCCATGCTTCTGCATTTATATTGTTTATGTTTGCAGTTGCAGGAAGATTTTTTGATGAACTGGTAAAGCGCCCAGAGCGATTTAAATCTTGTTCAACAATAGGGTAGATAGATTGATCATTACTAAATGGAATGATGGCAATTTTAGGTGCAGATTCAGGTGCTTTGGCAATTTCTAATTGCAATTGTGCATATGATGTGGTGATCAATGCTGGACTAAATGCAACAATAATTGCGAATCCTAATAGATGTTTAGGCATGATTTTCATTGGACTTCATGTACTCAAATATCAATTTTTAACTATGCTTAGCTTTGTAGCACAAAGACATGATTTTAATCTATATAAAGCATGTAATTGTGAACAAAAGATTATCATTGAACAGATTTACTAAAAAAATTAAATTCAAATTTATTACACCAATGAATTTCGGCTTGATCTTTGGGCGTTGTAAATGGCGCAGTTTTAAAAATTACTTTTTTATAGATTTGAGAACAATGTCGTTGTTGCTGCCATTAAAATATATTATTTCGTGTTCAATAGAGACTTATTCAATACGGAATTTGATGCGAATCACTTTTAATAATTGATTGAGCGATGACTGTTTAGACATTTCAAAAGGTGCTGTTTGCTGAATCGCCGTTTTGATTGCGTTTGAAAACGTTTCGCTGTCCTGTTCTGTGATTAAAATATCTTTTACATTCCCACTGTCATCTAAGTAAATAATAACATCGGCATTTTCTTGGATGATTGTTAAATTTCTCAACTTTTTAACAATACGATTGACTCTAGCGGTATTTATCTGCTGAGCCATTTGACTTTGTAGAAGTAATGCTTCCGTTGTTGGTACAGACGGTTTTTTTTCGTATGACGCAGAAGGTGGGTGTTGTTGCGTATTTACTTCAAGTATTTTTTCTTGCTCGATATTTTTTGCAAATAATAACGCGGTTGGAAAAAAATAATGAAATTGCTACAAATATGGGGTTAACTCGCATTTGATTTTCCGAGTGATTGTTCTTACATTAAATTACACCCTGCCTTGGCAGGGTGTAATTTTAAGATTATTTCACAGTAAAATTTGCACTAAAACTTCGTGCTTCACGTCGTGCATCTGGATCAGATGGCATCGGGAAAGGTGCAGCATTGCGAACTGCTTGTTCCACACTTGCTTTTACATCTGGGTCTGATGCATTGACAATGATCGAGGCCACAGAACCGCTATCCGTTAGTGTGACACGAGCTGTTGCCTTTTGACCTGTTGAGCCAGCAGGCATACGCCAAGCATTCCGAACTTTACTTTCAAAGTCCTTTTTCGCAGAAGATGCAACTTTTCTTGCTTCTGCCTTTTTATTTGCGGCAGCTTCTTTTGCTTTTTCAGCAGCAGAGGCTTTTTCTTCATCTAATTCGCGTGCTAGATCAGCTTTACGTTTTGCGTCCGCATCCGCTTTGGCTTTTGCAGCAGCATCTGCCTTGGCTTTTGCATTAGCATCCGCTTTGGCTTTTGCATTAGCATCCGCTTTGGCTTTTTCAGCAGCATCTGCCTTGGCTTTTGCATTAGCATCTAGCTTTACCCTTATTAGCAGCAAGCTTGGTGATGACAGGTTGTGCAAGCCGTAAACCTGCTGCCACTGTAG